TATTCGTCAACATTCTTAATAGTAGTACGTTTAAACTCATGAATTTACCAAGACGCACGAAGAAATTATCGAACTTAGCAAAATGTCTATAACTTTAAGTATACATAACTTTTATAATACAATTACATTTATATTCATACATATGAACATCAGGGTCGTCGGTCGGAAAGTTTTTACGTTTCAGGCTTCTTGACGAAATCCAATAAATATACAGGGTGTGTTTTACCAATGTCTTTTGCACCCTTATAAGTTATAGACATTTTGCTAAGTTCGATAATTTCTTCGTGCGTCTTGGTAAATTCATGAGTTTAAACGTACTACTATTAAGAATGTTGACGAATACTTGCGTTAAAAAATTATATTTATTTTAATTTAAACAAGTTTAAACAAGTTCAAACAAGTATTGGTGAGGTGCAATGAACCTTACTTAACTTCTGTGATTTAATAATAAAAACCACTTAATTCGCATTTTATATAGCAATAACACCTGTTATTTCTAGAAATTTGTTTTTCAAGAAATCTGATATGTAATCTGATACCCTATTGTTCATACGGTGTTGAAGCTGATGATTACGTAATGTTGTGTAATTTATAATTATTCGATTACTCAGCATTGTTGCAACCGCGCGCCGATTGTTATAATGTAACATAACACTTGTGCTGGTGAGGTGCAATGAACTTTACTTGACCTCGGTGATTTAATAATAAAAACTGTTTAATTTGCATTTTAGATAACAATAACACCTGACGTACGAATTGCATCATCCTTCTAGAATCTTCTATTACACATTTCCCCCACCCCCATTTTTTTCATACATATAATTACATGTTCTAAATAATTTATTTAGTTTGACTGCTATTTCCAAGCTAACAGGTTACGTTTTATTATCATTAATCTACGAAACAGCTGTTCAGGTTGTGATAACATCGTAGTTTCACCTATTCTAAAAACTTTTTTATACGAAGTGTTTTTGTTTTGTTATTTCCAAAAAGTTATATAATACAAAATGTTTACTTGTAAACGTTGTCAAGTATCTTTTACGTTAAAACGTAGTCTTGACAGACATGTACAAAGTAAACATGGTCAAACCAAATTTGATTGTTCGATATGTGGAAAATATTTTTCGAGGCGAGATAACTTGGACACGCATCGAAGAAAACTTCATGTACCAGTTATAAAACCTAGACGTCAAGTGTCACCACCACCATCAACTATTGAACAGCAACCGAATTTAGAGATGGGGCTTGCTACATTATCATCATCACCACCATCTAGTAAACGTCGTCGAGATTCAACACCTCCACCACTTCCAGGTACCAAGAACAGGGGTGGGGCATGCGAAGTTTGCGGCGAGTTTTTACCGTCACTTATGGCGCTTGAAACTCATCTTCAAACACAGCATGCCGAATTAATCGATAAGAATGTTACAAAAATGATGTCATGCTATAAAAATAGGGTAGTTTGTTATAAAATTAGTGGAACTCAATCTGACGATGATATACCCTCATTCCTATTGAAATGTTATGAAACAGTCAATAGACTGATTGAACAGCATCTCAGTGAGAATGGTTCGATTAAAGCTCAGATTGAGTTGTTAGCTAATTTTATTAAGTCCGGGTATGATGATGATGGTAATGAGGAAGTTATAACGTCAGAGAAAAATTTTAACACCAAATTTAAAATTATCACTACAGCTACTCTGTTGAACGAGGTTTATGATGAGATGACTCGTGATATTTTAACTCAAAGCGAGGAGTTTCAGGAGCGTGGGTCCGGGTGGGCTTTCCACTCAATATCTTACCTCCTGTTAAACCTCAATAAATTTGAACCTATACCCGGGTCGTCATATATTCATTTACCTCGTGAAATTATTAATAGAAAGGCATGCATCAATATAAAAAACCTTGAAGATGATGCATGTTTAGCGTGGTGTTTGACGGCGGCTCTTCATCCCGCGAAACTTCATCGAGACCGGACTTCGAGTTACCCTCATTATAGCCAAGTACTTAATTTAGAAGGTATTCGTTTCCCCATCAGTTTAAAAGATATAATTAAAGTAGAAAAATTAAATAATTTAAGTGTTAATGTTTATGAGTTAGTTAAGAATTCGAATAAGTATACGGTGGAGGGTCCAATTTATTTTACCAAACAAAGACGCGATATACATATAAATTTGCTCTATTTATATGAAAATGGAAAAGGTCATTTCGTTTTAATTAAAAATCTTTCGAGGTTAATATCAAGTCAGGTTACACACCACGGACATTCTATACACCTTTGCGATGGATGTTTAACACGGTTTTCATCAGCTGAACATTTAATTGCACATCAGATTAACGATTGTAATCATATAAAGACAGTTGTACCTTCCACAAATTTAAAATTAAAACCTAATTATTTCGGCTTATATACCCCCCAGAACATTTTAGAGTTTAATAACTATAAATTCACTCAGATGGCCCCGTTTGTCATATACGCCGACTTTGAATCGATTTTAAAACCGATCGATCATTGTGAACCACATTCTTCCAAGTCTTTCACGGAAAAAATTGAGATGCATCAACCGTATAGTTTCGCGTACTATATCGTTTCCACCATTGATTCCAATTTCAATAAATTTGAAACGTATACGGGTTTGGATGCACCTCAAGTTTTTATCTCTAAATTAATTGATGATGTCAAATTTATTTATAATGAATACTTCAAAATCGTAAAACCAATGCTACCTTTAACGAGCGATGAGCAGCAGAATTTCGATTCGGCTGAAAATTGTTTTATTTGCCAAAATCCTTTCACTTCAGATCAGGTTAAGGTTCGCGATCATTGTCACATAAGCGGTAGGTACCGTGGGCCCGCTCATACAAATTGTAATTTAAATTTTCAACTTCAAAATTTTATTCCAATATTTTTTCATAATTTTAGCGGTTACGATTGTCATTTATTTATTAAAGAAATGGCTGATGCGGATGAAGATGGGCTTGATGTATTACCTAATAATAAAGAAAAATACATCAGTTTCAGTAAACGGATATTAGTCGATAAAGCGCAAGTGGAGGGAGACCGTGTTGAAAATACTTTTTTTAAACTAAGATTTGTAGATTCATTTAGGTTTATGGCTTCATCATTAGATTCTTTAGCTGGTAACCTTGACGAATTTGATTTAATAAATATACGTAAATTCTTTCCACACAATGATCAGTTTAGATTACTGAGCAAGAAAGGAATATTCCCCTACGGTTATATGGATTCACTCGATAAATTAAACGTAACTTCATTGCCACCTAAAAAAGCTTTTTTCAACAAACTATCATTTGAAGATATAACCGATGAGCAATATTCCCATGCTCAAACTGTGTGGGAAAAATTTAATTGTCAAAATTTAAAAGATTATTCGGATTTGTATCTAAAAACTGATGTCCTGCTACTTGCTGATGTATTTGAAAAATTCAGACAAGTTTGCTTCAAAACCTACGATTTAGATCCCGCTCATTATTATACTGCCCCAGGACTTTCTTGGGATGCAATGTTGAAATTTACCAAAATTAAATTAGAATTATTGACGGATATAGATCAAGTCAATTTGATTAAGAAAGGTATCCGTGGAGGTATTTCCCAATGCTCTCTACGGTATGCTAAAGCCAATAATAAATACATTGACAATTATGATCCCAATTCACAATCAAACTTTTTAATGTATTGGGACGCTAATAATTTGTATGGGTGGGCGATGTCTCAATTTATGCCCGTTTCCAATTTTAAATGGCTGAGTGAAAATGAAATACAAAATTTAGATTTTAATAATATACCCGATAATTCCGATTTTGGATATATTTTAGACGTAGATATTGAATACCCCGAAACTTTACATGATTTACACAACGATCTCCCGTTTTTAGCTGAGAATTTAATTGCCCCCAATAATCGATGTGAAAGTGAAAGGAGATTAATTCCAAATTTATTTGATAAGAAAAATTATGTGATCCATTATAGAAATTTAAAACAAGCTGTTGCTCACGGTCTTAAAGTTCGCAAAATTAATAGAGTTTTATCGTTCAGACAGTCTGCGTGGTTGAAATCTTACATCGATAAAAATACGGAATTACGTCAATCCGCAAAGAATGCGTTTGAAAAAGACTTTTTTAAATTGATGAATAATTCCGTATTCGGCAAGACAATGGAAAACGTCGATAAGCGAGTCGATGTAAGATTAGTGACCAGTTGGGATGATGAGCATACTGGTAAAACCACAGGTAGACCTCGTTTAGGAGCTCGGAGTTTAATCGCAAAATTAAATTTTAAAAGTATTAAAGTATTCACAGAAACGTTTTCGGCAATTCAAATGGATCGTCTTCATGTCGTTTACGATAAACCTCTATACGTTGGTTTTACTGTTTTAGAACTTTCAAAATTATTAATGTATGATTTTTATTATGATTTCTTAAAACCTAAATATGGCGAAGACGTTCGGTTGTGCTATATGGACACCGATAGTTTCACTGTATTAATTAATTCTTATGATATATATAGAGATGTGAAATTAAATTTAAATAAATTTGACACATCTAACTACAGTCCCGATAATCGGTTTGACATCCCCTTGCAAAATAAAGCAGTTTTAGGTAAAATGAAAGATGAGAATTGTGGAAACATAATGGTTGAATTTGTTGGTTTGAGGTCAAAGGTATATGCTAATAGGGTCGCTGATGGGCGGATTACCAAAAAATCCAAAGGCGTTAAGAAGACCGTTGTTAAACATCACATCTCTTTTCAAAATTATTTAGATTGTCTAAATTCCAAATCGGTTTTATTTAAAAAACAAACATTATTTAGAAGTTTTAACCACAGTATATTTACTGTATTACAAAATAAATTGGTTCTTTCACCAAATGACTCCAAGCGATATATTTGTGATAATGGAATTAATACATTAGCTTGGGGTCATTATAATATAACGTGTTAAGTAATGTTAATATAATTTTAAGTATATAATTATTAAGTTTGATAGTTTTATTGTACAATTTTAATACCTTTTGTAATTAGTACGTCAGAGGTTCATCATATTTTTTATATTTAGATTGTTTAATTTCATATAGATTAAGTATATTAAATAAATGTAATGTTAAAAACTTATTTAAAAAATTATATTTATTTTAATTTAAAATATTTTATTGAAACAAGTGTTGGTGATGTGTAATGAACTTTACTTAACCTCGGTGATTTAATAATAAAAACTGCTTAATTCGTATTTTATGTACATTTAATAACAATTGTTATTTCTAGAAATTTGTTTTTCAAGAAATCTGATATGTAATCCGATGTTCCTTCGTATGGATATCAATTTTTTAAGCCGTAATGGTATTATAAAATTTATGTTTCACTTAAAAATTAAATAATAAATGTATTAACACGTAATTGTTGTTTCTATTTGTCTTCGACCGCTCAAATTCAACCTTTAAAGTATTTCTACATATTTCACCTTACAGCTATCAGCTTAATTCGCTTAAATAAGTAAGTAGAATGTTATGATCCAACACGTAAAGTAATGAACACTTATTGTGGTGTTAACGAAACAAATTTCACCTATGAAGAATGTAATAATAATAATAAATGCATCTTATTAAATTTATATAATTTATGGTTTTTAAATAAATAAATAATCTCTAAACTTCTATAATTTTTTATTTTAATCCTTATCTCTCCCCGACTGACCACTGCTGCCGTGATGTTTTTGTTTAGTAGCAACCGTAGCGTCGCTTTATTTTTTATTAAGTAAACATAAACATGTCTGCTATAAAGGTTACCACCACCTCTATACCCTCTTAAGTTCCAACACCTCACTTACCGCATGCTCGAACTCCGACGGAATTCTTCTTTTGTGTCCGGATGTATCAAGACCTCGATGAAGTTCCAACACCCCTCACTCCACACCTCGCCTACTCGCACCCTGCCACCTACCGGCCCACGCCCCGAATCCCACACCTAACTGGTACATCATTGTCTAAATGCCATCACCACTACCAAGCTGCACACGTTCCGGCGGCATGACGTCATCAGCTCGATAACTAAATAAGGTCCTTTTTGCCAGTTTTCACTCGTGCAATGTTGCTCATGCTTATTATAGCCGGCAGGAGGTTGAAGGGGGGGGGGACAGGGGTTGAACAGGGGTTGAACAGGGTTTGAACAGGGTTTGAACAGGGGTTGAACAGGGGTTGAACAGGGTTTGAACAGGGGTTGAACAGGGGTTGAACAGGGGTTGAACAGGGGTTGAACAGGGGTTGAACAGGGATTGAACAGGGGTTGAACAGGAGTTGATGAACCAAGGCCCTTTTGGTAGTTTTCACCCGTGCCATGTTGTTCGTGCTTGTTATAGACCACAGGGAGGTTGTAGGGAGGAATTTTTTGGTTTCTTTTTTCGATTTGAAGCATCGTTAACGAGATATTTATCATTTTATAACCACCAAGCCAAACGTTCAGATGTCGGGTGGAATGACGTCATCAGCTCGATAACTAAATAAGGTCGTTTTGGCAGTTTTCACCCGTGCCATATTGTTCGTGCTTGTTATAGGCGACAGGGGGTTGTAGGGGGGAATTTTTTGATTTATTTTTCGATTTGAAGCATCGTTAACGAGATATTTACCATTTTATAACCTCCAAGCCAAACGTTCGGGTATCTGATGGAATGACGTCATCAGTTCGATAACTACATAAGGCCGTTTTGGTAGTTTTCACCCGTGTCATATTGTTCGTGCTTGTTATAGGCGACAGGGGGTTGTAGGGGGGAATTTTTTGGTTTATTTTTCGATTTGAAGCATCGTTAACGAGATATTTACCATTTTGTAACCACCAAGCTAAACGTTCAGATGTCTGATTGAATGACGTCATCAGCTCGATAACTACATAAGGCCGTTTTGGTAGCGTCTTGAGGCATGCCTTTAAGCGTTCAACGTCTATCGTTCATCAAGCAAATTTACATTAAAAAAAATATATAACACAGCGCCATCTAGCGTTCATCAGGTAAATTTAAATTTTAGAAATATAACAGCGCCATCTATTGCCCATCAGGTAAATTTAAATTTTAAAAATATAACATAGCCATCTATCACCCATTAGATAAATAACTCCGCAATCAACAACAACTTATCCGACAAGTCGTTCATGCTGCCTACATTCGAGCGTGACGTCACGACTGGAACTGCGCATGCTCCTGCTCCTTGCTCCTTTGATCCAGAACTTTCACGGTAAATTTTAAGCTGTGCCATCTATCGATCATCAGGTAAATTTTAAGCTGTGTCATCTATCGATCATCAGGTAAATTTTAAGTTGCGCCATCTATCGATCATCAGGTAAATTTTATCAATGACCGCGTGTAGAATTCTTCTTTGTCTAGTTCCCCCCTCCACCGCCGGTAGGTGGCGCCACCGCCGACCGCGTGCCGTCACGGCTGGAACTGCGCATGCGCTTGCTCCTTGCTCCTGTGGTCCAGAATCGGCATTAATATACTACTAATGACTACTTATAATAGATTAAACTCAGGCACTAATATTGAGGAACATAATGTTTCCAACACTGAGATAAATTCTGTGGACGTAAATAATCATTTCACCACAGCCCTGAAAACTTTTGTAATCCAAAATTCAGAAGAAGATTTTATAAATTATTTTATATCTAACGAAACCGTTTGTCGCGGAATTTTTAGATCACCATTGGGCGATGTTTTAATAATTCTTCATTTGGTTTGTAAAAGATATTTAATAAACATACTAAAATTTTTGATACCGATTATGATGCCTGAAGATGACAATGCAAGTAATGAACAAAATCTGGAAATATTTTCTGAAATTGGTTTTCCTGCTATATTCGAAGAAATATTTCGAAAACCAACTAATTTTAATGGAAAATTTCTGAACCGCATCTTGATAACGTTATTACAAAATTGCAGTGTGTACAAACCCGACGATGTTTGTAATTACAAAGCTTGTGTAAAGTGTATTTTGAATCAAAATAACTTAAAAATTGCGTTTAATGAAGTTGACGATTACGGAAACACACCACTACATTACGCCGTAAAATACACAGATTTCGAGACGATTATTGATTTATCGCAACTGGGTGCGTTTTTAGATACAACAAATAAAAAAGGGATTATGCCTGTTGATAATATTTACGCCGAGGATTTAGAAAAACTTTTAGATGCTTGTATACAATTACAAACACGTAATCAGACGGAAACTCAATTCAATCCGAAAAATAAATATATTACATTTGATTATACCACACTGTTTTCTAAAGAAATGTCAGAAACAGATGTGATTATGCGAATTGGTAAAAACCGGAATTTAAGACATTTATTAAAACACCCAGTTATTTCGACAATTTTGGATTTAAAGTGTTACAAAATGGTAAATTTTTTCGTGATTAATTTTATTTTTTACGTAATTTTTGACATCATTTTGGGGTTATACATTTTTATTGCAAACTTTCCCTCTATACGTTTCATTTTTAGTTGCCTAGTATGTGTTGTATTGATCATATATTCTTTAAAAGAGTTTATTCACATTGTCTTAGCAGCAAAAATCTACTTTAGAGACCCGGAAAGTTATTTAGATATATTTATATTAACAGCAACAAGTTACATGGTGTTTAAGGATCTGTTTTGCGGGAATAATGAATCTGATTTACCGTACTATTATGTATTGATCGGATGTGGCATCCTGGTTTATATAAAAGTGACGTTATTGAAAGCTCGATGTCTAAGTTTTTCCATTAATGTTTCGGTTCTTAAGGCAGTTTTATGGAATTCCTTTAAATTTATACTTTGGTTGTCACTTTTATTTATCTTCATTGTATTATACTATGTAGGATACATAACAGCAAAAAATGATAAAAAAAATATTGATTACTATAATAATAATGAAATAACCAATTTGTTTAACCGTCCAATTTTAACGATTTTAAACGAAATACTTATTCCATGTTTATTTTTTTTTATTTCAATTATACTTTCTAATGTTATAAATGGTTTGGGAATAAGCGATATTCAAACGATAAAAAAGAAAGCAAAAGTTGTAACCTTACAGGAACGAACTAAGCACATAGAATATATTGAAAAAGTGGTTTATGGTAATACAATTTTATCAAAAATATTCAAGGCATACTTACCTGACATGATAACAACAATCTCTTGTAAAAATTGTGGACCAACATCGGAGTACGACGACTTTTATGACGATAATAAACGACTGTATCTCTTTTCTTACTCCAATGACATACAACAATATGATAATAGAAAACATGTTTATATGACTCTTTATAATGATACATGCGTTATTACCACAAAATGCGAAAAATGTAAAAAGTTCAGGATACCCATATCCCCCGTACACATAGACAATGAGATAGCGAAAAGTACGGAAGAGATTATTCGGAGACGTTTGAGAGAATCTTAATTTTTGTAAAATATTACAAAATTTTAATAAATAAAGTTTATTTAGTAGAGGTAATCGTCAACGCATTGAAATTGACATTTTACTGTTAAATTTTCAAAATGTATTTTGTTACTTATTAATAATAACTTATTTATTAAAATATTTTTCAAAATAAATTATTAATTGAATATAGATATTATTTATACATTATGTCCTCAGAAACCTCCTGCGCTCACTTTTTTAACAGTAGGCGAGAACGTGTAAGGTACGGGGAGTGTGTATTCTATACGCGGCACCTAGGCCCCAACGGACCCCTTGTACAGTTCTGTTCATTTATAATGCGAAAAGAGCCGCTCGTAAAGGCATAAAATTGTACTAGAAACGACCTACGTTCACGAGGCATTCAATCCAGGTTTTACCTGCTCTGTAGTGTTGCAAATGTTCCGAACAGGCAAGCGGGGTGATGTGATTTATGGCCAAGAATCCCAAAGAAAAATTAAGAAAATAAATAAGTATAAGCAATCCATTTACTTTACACAATTCCTGTAGTAAATGAAAATAATTACTAAATTACTGTATTACTTTGGTAATACAGTGGAACGATAACTCGAACCTCATAAGAAATATATGTATCTATATTGATAGTAAGTTATATATAAACTATATATTGAAATATATCGTAAACCATTAAAAAATATAATATATTATTATACATATAAAATATAATAAATATTATAATAATCTAATTGTGGAGAATTTGATATGGTCCATTATACGTCGTATGAAATTGTACGTCAATCTTGCCATATAGGTTATCAAGTTAATTGACGGCAAGGTTTTATAACCTATAAGTACGAAGGCTTTAAGGTTCAGAAAAAGAATCTCTATCCAATAGCGTGAAGAAAAACACAAAATTTGAAAATCAAAAGTTGATAATTGTTTGAAATTGAAGATGGCGTTGGAAAAAGTTTATTTGTAGCATGAATCATAGTATTCATAAACCTTTTCATTTGATATTTCGCTCATGAAAATTGGAATGTAAATGACAGAGTTACAGCTTGCGGCATTCTTGTGTGACAACTTGTATACAGGTGTCTTTTTTCTGCTAAAATTACATATAAAATGGATGTATTGTACATCAATGGATTCAGAAAAACAATCTCTATCCAATAATGTGAAGAAAAATATTCGCAGCAATTTGAAAAGCAAAAGTTAATAATTGTTTGAAATTGAAGATGGCGTTGGAAAAAATTTATTTATAGCACGAATCATAGTATTTATAAAACCATTTTATTTGATACCTGGGTCATGAAAAAAAAAAATGTAAATAACAGAGTTACAGGTTGGGGCGTTTTTTGTGTGACACCATGTATATTAGAATGTATTATATTAGGAAAGGGAAAATTGTAAATGTAAAAAAAAACAATAAAACGCTTATTATTATTACCTACGGTATTTGATGTCACAATTTCACCTATCTCACTTCAAGGATTTACTGCACTCCTTCTACAGCGCAACTGACCGCCCAAGATGGATTTGCTAGGTGCTATTTTGAAGATTTTGCATTTCTAAACCATTCGGGGCTATAGTTTCTATAAAGTAGTGAAATTGAAAGCTTGAAATTGAAGATGGCGTTGGAAAAAGTTTATTTGTAGCATGAATCATAGTATTCATCAAACCATTTCATTTGATGCCTTGGTCATGAAAATCGGAATATAAATGACAGAGTTACAGCTTGGGGCGTTTTTTGTGTGACACCCTGTATATTATTATTGATTACTCACGTTAACTGTTACTCTTATTGCGTTGTTTCTCATTACGTTTATCCTTGTTACACCTTCAATTGTTCTTATATCTTCATTTTCATAGCAGTACTGTTTGATTTTAATTAACAATTATCTTTAGTTACTTTCCTCCACCTTATCTATAACCTATAACTACTTTTTTGGAGGAATTTAACTACACTTGGCAATTTATATTTATTAAATCTATAACTCCGAAAAATTTGTTTCCGAAACGGATGGTCGCGAGCGAACTTCCAGATTTAGTTGAAAAAGAGTTAAAGTTAGGTCCGTATTTTTAATAGAGTACACGCTATGTGGGATGGAGAGGTATGTCCCAACAAATGTTTTCTGATAATGGCACAAACTTTGTGGATGCAAATCTCGAAAGAGTTTTAATTTCTTAATAAAAAATTGTAATAAATTAACTCATTTGATCAATGACGCATTCATTAATTAGACTTTTGTCCCTCCTAGTTGACCTCTCAGTTTGGTGGACTATGGGAAGCGGGTGTTAAATCTGTTAAATTTCATCTTACACGCATAACTNGCAAATCTCGAAAGAGTTTTAAATTATTAAATTAACTCATTTGATCAATGACGCATTCATTAATTAGACTTTTGTCCCTCTTAGTTGACCTCTCAGTTTGGTGGACTATGGGAAGCGGGTGTTAAATCTGTTAAATTTCATCTTACACGCATAACTGGCAACGTTTCATTTATTGTTGAAGTTTTTTCGGACATTCAATTTAAATGAATTACCTACATTTTATAAGAAATTATTTAAAAAATACACGACGAGCTCGAGAATCAAATTGTCGTTTCTGCCGTTTCCATCACTACAGCAACCAAACAAAAAAAATAAAGTAGTGATTCATCAGGAGGTGTTATCAAAATCGTCACTAGCATGTGGTGATTTACAGTTACAACAGGGTACATCAAGTATAAGCTTCTCTAACCTTAATAATTGTACGTTTAATATTTATTCTAATAAATAATTAATTGTTTATTTGGTTGCTATAAAGAAATGGTTACTATAAAGAAATGAGGTACTTTTCTTTACGGTTTGTAATAAGGAAATATAGGCCATTTCCAGTGAGTGTTCGAAAAAGTTTATTATTAAAGAATGTTCAGTTCTTTTAAAATAAATTAACAATTATTTATAAGCAAAAGGTTAACGTGACCAATGAGAATTGTTTTAAATATTTCCTTCTTAAACTAAAACTAGAACTTATAAAAGGTTTGATGTTTCGGATGCCATGTTGCACCTTCTTCAGAAACTGATTCGAAGTGACGAGATCAAAAATCGGTAACTGTATACAAGTCGGAAAAACGAATTAATAATCAGTTAACGCTAATTACAAGCTAATTAGTAACTAATTGCGTCGCGTCCGGTGTGAGGAGTTTGGTATATTTCTTATAGTTCTTGAATAATTAACATTTCTTTTTGTTCTTTCTAAAGCAATTGTGTGTATCTAAAAGNCGATCTGCTGATTGGACGAAAAACAGTTCGTTTAAACAGTTCCCGTGCGGTTATTATAAACATTTCGAAAAAATTTTATTAGAAAGATCGCTTCAGAATAATGTATCGTACAATCGTATAATGCTCTGATGCGGAAGATACGGGACACGCTGTATAGCACAATTAAACATATATGTATAACCTAGAGTGCGTATGTGGTGGTGATGGGGCAATCAGAAAGTCAGACATGTTGGATGTACCGACCTGAACTTAGCTATAGTTTAAGTAGTTAAGTCTCTATTGTCCCTAGAATAAATTATAACTTCACAATTATCGTTATTTTTATTAAAATTTGATTTTTGTTGAAGGTTTTCGAATTCTTCTAGTTTCACATATATTTTTATAATTTGGTAGGTTGGAAGATTATTTACAACAGTCTATAAAATGTTTCTGGTTACTTGATTTGAAATTAACAATTAACGTTCAAGTAATAGTTATTTGTATTATAAGTAAAGAAGAAGTTACTTTTCTTTAAGAATAATACATGAAGTTTTTTCGGACACTCAATTTAAATGAATTACCTACATTTTATAAGAAATTATTTAAAAAATACACGNACAAAAGGATGAACTCGTTCATTGATTAATGTAAATTTATTGCATGAATGAATAGCGTACATTGGTTTTTTCAAATCACATTTTATTGAGCCAACAAAGTCGAACATTATAATTATGTGCAGGATTACCCTGCCAATGATAATACTTTATAGTATCGATTAAAAATGTTCATTGCTGCAATAACACCATACAATGTAATCATGTACAGGTTTATTTTTCTAACGATGCTAGTTCACAGTATCAATTAAAGTTGTTCATTGAGCCAATAACATCATACGTTCTTATAATGTACGTATTTATCCTGCTAATGAAGCTACTTCATAAAATATTCCTTTATCCAATAAATATTGTTCATCAAGTACATGAACATTATATGACAATGAAATTATTTGTTGCTTTAATGCTAACTGGTAATTAACACTATGTACCTTCATGTTTAATGTCACTTCGTGACGGTAGTTATAAACACCGTACGCTAATAGTTTCTATCAAGGGAAGCTATGAAAATGAAAACTTCTGTCCTCGATTATATAATGTGACAAGTTGTAAAAAATGTAAGTATGATAAGGTAGTTGATAAGTTCTTCTTATCATAATTTTCTTGAAAGAAATTCGTCGGGTATCATTTATCATCTATCACAGGGTATCTTTTAGCCTTTCACATTCAGTAATTTTCTAACATAAATAAGGTAATACTAATCAGACAATTAAACACTCTAGAAAAGAACACTTTAGAAAAGTCTATTTGAGATTTATAAAAATATTTTGAAATGATTGTTGACAATTTTGAATTGTCAGTTTCAACAACATGTTTACTCATCTGGAATATGTAAGTGTTTTGAAATGTAAAAACATAACAATTAATGTTTATAATAAGTAGTATTGTTTCTCTGTAAGTAGATAGCACTTTTTCTTTTGTATTGTTGCTCGTTTCAATAAATTAAGTCTGTTCTGATTAGGCTAAAAATGCGTTAAGGTGAGTTTAGACATGCATGGATTTAGTGGCGCCAGTAGTTGCACCAGTTCTACTTGCACGCCAGTAAAGGTTTACATTACATGTGCCACTGGCGTGGCACATGTAAAAAATAAGTGACACGCCAGTTTAACGTAATTGGGATTTAATTTGAATGCAATGAAACATAACCTAAATTTGACATTAAAAAATTTTGTATTATTATGGACACTCACCTATGTTGCCATGGTTACATGTTTTAGACTCATCACTGGCCATAGAAAAATATATTATATATATGTATATAGACTTTACTCCCCACCAGTATTTAGTCGAAATGAAATTCAGCGCCATTAGCGGAATGTACTAGTACTTCTTTTGATAAGCCGCGAAATTTAAATGGATAATTTTTATATAGTATACTGGTTTTGTTTATTTGTTTTTAAATAAAAAAAAGCTACATTTATTAATTAAATATTTTTATTTAAAATTTACTGAATATAATAACATATATATTATAATAATAAAAAAGAAAATTAGATATCTAAAACAACAATGCATAAAAAAAAAATAGTAAAATGCAATGTTGATGAACATTGCATTTTACTATTTCATTACCATACATCTCCAAAAGTTTCGGTGTTCACTCGATTTGGTCACAACCATCTTGAGTGNTTCAGGTGTAACGGAACGAATTGCTAGGCACCTCAAGAAGAACGACATCGGAGTGCGGTACGGCACGGTCAGCAAAATTCGGAACACACGCCCGATAGCCAAGGACAAACTAACTCCATTAAAAGGAGCGGGAGTCTACCGACTATCGTGTAGTTGTGGGAAGGTTTATGTTGGCCAAACTGGACGCAACGTCGAGTGCCGCATCAAGGAGCATGAAAGGGAACATTGCCATGCAGAGGGGCACCGAATAGACTTCGAACAAACGAAGGTGCTGGCTAGGGACAACAGATACTACCAAAGACTGACAAGAGAAGCCATAGAGATCCACCGATATAAAAATAACGTCAATAGAGAGGATGGATGGGAGCTTAGCAGAACATGGAAGATGGTGGTGAACACGAAGACCTCTTCCCGCCTCACACCGGACGCGACGCAATTAGTTACTAATTAGGTTGTAATTAGCGTTAATTGATTATTAATTAGTTTTTCCGACTTATATAGTTACCGATTTTTGATCTCGTCACTTCGAACCAGTTTCTGAAGAAGGTTGCAACTTTTTTTAAAAGACGCACGGCAAAACCCGAAAGTTTCTAGTGTTAGTTCTAGTTTTAGTTTAATTCACACCGGCCGTGAAAGCCTTCGTACTTATATTTTCTCCTTAGTTTATGTTAATTATAAGGGTTATTATTAAAAATTATTATAGTCTTTTAAAATATTATATAATCAATAATTATTTATCAATAAAAAATTAATGTGTTTTGTTTTAGTTATTATTTTCTGTCTTTCCAGTTTGTAATAATGTAAATTCTTGCATAAGTATATATGTATAAAAATTTCGAATTTCCCGATTAAAAAAAAAAGTGGAAAGTCACCATTTTGAATTAATTCGTCCAATTGAAAATCTGGTATCACCATCGTGTAGAGAATGTTCTAAAACATATTACTGCCAAATATTTTGAAAGTAGTACCGATAGTGTGGCTAAAAAAAAATAAGGCGGTTACTCTGAAACAGGCTGTATAGTTTGTTAGGTATATTTCTTATAGTTCTTGAATAATTTACATTGCTTTTTGTTCTTTCTAAAGCAATTGTGTGTATCTAAAAGTTAATGTTGTTATGGTGATAACCACACTATGATGCAAACTAATGTTCTTAAGTTACTACATTTTTGGGTAGCAGGCACTGAGAGAAAAAGTGACGTATATACAACGAATTTATTCGTTGTAACAATGAAAATAACGATAAATCAGTCCGATGAAAAAGTACGTTGACACAATGAACATTTTGCACAAAAGGATGAACTCGTTCATTGATTAATGTAAATTTATTGCATGAATGAATAGCGTACATTGGTTTTTTCAAATCACATTTTATTGAGCCAACAAAGTCGAACATTATAATTATGTGCAGGATTATCCTGCCAATGATACTACTTTATAGTATCGATTAAAAATGTTCATTGCTGCAATAACACCATACAATGTAATCAATAATCATGTACAGGTTTACCTTTCTAACGATGCTAGTTCACAGTATCAATTAAAGCTGTTCATTGAGCCAATAACATCATACGTTCTTATAATGTACGTATTAATCCTGCTAATGAAGCTACTTCATAAAATATTCCTTTATCCAATAAATATTGTTCATCAAGTACATGAACATTATATGACAATGAAATTATTTGTTGCTTTAATGCTAACTCTTAATTAACACTATGTACCTTCACTTAGCTAATCACGATATTTAATGTCACTGCATGACGGTAGTTATAAACACCGTACGCTAATAGTTTCTATCAAGGGAAGCTATGAAAATGAAAACTTCTGTCCCCGATTATACCTATAATGTGACAAGTTGTAAAAATTGTAAGTATGATAAGGTAGTTGATAAGTTCTTCTTATCATAATTTTCTTGAAAGAAATTCGTTGATCACAGGGTATCTTTTATCCTTTCACATTCAGTAATTTTCTAACATAAATAAGGTAATACTAATCAGACAATTAAACACTCTAGAAAAGAACACTTTAGAAAAGTCTATTTGACATTTATAAAAATATTTTGAAATGATTGTTAACAATTTTGAATTGTCAGTTTCAACAACATGTTTACTCATCTGGAATCAGTGTTTTGAAATGTAAAAACATAACAATTAATGTTTATAATAAATAGTATTGTTTCTCTGTAAGTAGATAGCACTTTTTCTTTTGTATTGTTGCTCGTTTCAATAAATTAAGTCTGTTCTGATTAGGCTAAAAATGCGTTGACTTATCCATCATCGATTTTTAAGAGAGACTCCTAATCTTGATATATGCCCTGTGCAAAAGTCAACTTTTAATAATAGTTTTCGAAAAAAGTATTTTACCTGCCGCTAATTGTTGTAGAACTCGCCTCGCTCGCTCGACTTGTTCGGTAAAGCATCACTTTGCTGACTTGGTACATAAATAACTATTGTCTATCTTGTAGTTGTTAGTATTAGAAATTTTTTAATACATTAATCTTTTTCAGGATTTGGTTTGATACCTTTATCAGTGATAAGATGACCTAAATAATTTAATGATTTTTTGAGAAATTCCCATTTGTTTAAAGAAATTTTTACTCCGTGTTTTGGTAATCTATCAAATACTTGTTTTAGATGTTCTTTATGTTGTTCAATTGAGCTTGAAAGTATAATTATATCGTCACACTTGACATATTTCATCGGTTAAACCTCTAAGCATATTGTTCATGCATCTCTGAAAAGTTGAGGGTGCATTACACAATCCGAAAGGCATTCGGTTGAATTCGAATAAACCTTCGTGAGTGATAAAAGCAGTTTTTTGTTTATTTTTCTCTTCTACTTCAATCTGGTGATAACCTGATGCCAAATCTAAACTAGAAAAGTATTTAGCTCTACCTAACTTGTCTAAAATTTCGGTGATATTGATTTATTCTGTTTTGACATAAATTTTGGGTATGGATATGTTGGATTATAATTGAAATTTTGTGGTCTCGTAAGTGGTTGATTTTGTGTTGGCTTAGGAAAATTAAATCTTGAATTATTTTTATTAAAACGGGATGGGGTGGCTGATATTGTAATGGCCTAAATTGAAAAGGTTTAAATTGTGGGTATCTATCTAGAGCTCGTGCAGATATAGGTCTTACTGCTAAATTAAATGGATTTTGATTGTTTGAAAATATCAGTCGATGTAAATTCTGACCTGGTGGTAAAACTGGTACTTTTGGGGAATTATTCAAATTTAGTGGTGTTGTGGTTGGTTTTCCACAAAGGTATAGCAATTTTTGTTTTTCTAATACGAATTTCATAGCGTTTTCTAAGTTATCAGGTGTTTTGTGATACAAATATTCACCAAAATGCGGTTTTTTGTAAAATCAGTAAACACACGTTCAATCCACTTGTTACGTAGTTTTTTTCTTTTAAATTTGATTGGTCAAGAAAGTCGTACGATAGAAGTGGGCACTCCGATGAGCTGGGAATCAACGATAAAAAGATTAGATCATAAGTTACTTATGATCTAAGTTACCACCGAAATGTCAACACCTTTGTAACAACTATAATTTGAAATAAAGTATAAAAAGTTTTTACTTTTTACTTTTTTTTTAAAGGTTTAGTTTAATTATCAACACCTCGCAACACTCTCATTCATTGTTCGTTTATCGTACAATTATGGTTCCTCGCGATAAGATGGCGAATTTCCAATTGAGGTCATAAAACGAGATGCCGACAACATTAAACGAATCGATGTCATTTCTGGTTATTCTGTCCCAAAGACAAGCCCCCTTTTAAAACATGGCGTCGCCGCACAGACAGAGTTTTGACGGGATACCCCCAGTGTCCTTTCTGGTTATTCAGTGGCCTGGCATTGTAGCACCAATAAAAGAATAAGAAGATCTGCTTTGCGGCTTTTGTAAAGATATTTTCCGTAAATACCGTGGTGGTATATGGGCTGCTTTAAGATTAAACAACTTAAATGACATTATATAGTAAAAGTCTTTGTTCATCCGGTGGATTCCTCCTATATCTTTTGAATTAAACGTTTATTTCTTCTTAACTAGACTCCAAATCTACTGGCAGAATAACCGCCAAGCCTGTTGGAGAGCATGTAGATTTACACTTGGGTCAAAAGTATATATCTACTTTTAGTATTTAAAACAAATATATTTTTAATTTTTATAAACTAATTTAAATTAATCATCTTCTTCTTCCTCTTCTTCAATAACAATATCCCATGGTGTTTGCTCAGCACTTATCCAAATAATCGACAACACAGTACTCGCTAATGATAAAAAAAATGTTAACCATAATAATTTTATGTCTTTATCTTTTGGGTCCTAAAACAAATTTTAATTATTTCTGTTTTTTGAAATATTTTTTTAAAAACTTTACAATACAATAACTAGCTGGATGAGTTGTATCGTAAAAAAGTGTAATACAATTAACGAGACCATTTCCAATACCAATAATTGTACCACTATAATGTCGTGTTATATCATGTACGTTAACTGAACTTCCAGTGAAACCAACTCCAAGAACACCAAAACCCAAACAATATAAGATAAAGGAAAAATAAATGTTGTGACGATGCGCGCCAAATGTAATCAACAAACTTGCTAAAAGAATTCCAGCCAAATTCGCAACAATCCTTACATAAATAATCGGCATTTTGTTTTTGTTAATAATATTTTGAAAAATATACCCAGAGATTAATCCACCAAAAAATCCAAACAATGGTAAAACTTTAACCATCCATTTAGAATCCCCAAAAATGTACAACCATGAAGTATGATAACCAAAAATTAATTGAATTAACAACCATTTATGGGCAACATAACCAAACCAAACTGAACGAACAGATTGACTTTTAATTATATTTTTAAATGGAATGCGTTGTGGAAAGGCATTCGTTGTGTTGTATTCCAAATTAGTTTTTCGTCCTTTTTTTAAGTACGGATGAGTCCAAGGTGCGGAAAAAACGGTAAAAAACAATAAAATTAAAATTGTAAAACCTCCAAAACCGACCATTTCCATCGACCACGAAACCGATTTCACATCAACATAACCGATAATCGTGATAAAAAGGCTGTGCCAACAAAAACACGTTACATTTATGGCTGTTGATATAAATGTTAATTCGGGTTTGTTGATCCAATGCGCTAAAAGGCTATAAACGGATGTTAAAACAAAACTTTGAGCGCTTCCAAAAATGAAGTTAATCACAGGAAATCCCCACCATGGAAATAACCATACAATATGACCAAAACTAATACAAAGTAATGTGTCGATGAATAATCCGATTTTTAAAAGGAGTGATCCACCATATTTATCGGATAATACTCCGGCTATTGGATGTATCAGTATTTGTGATATTGTTAAACTAAATGTTACCATTTTTACTTGATTTGATAATGATGAAAAAACACCAGAATCGGATGAACTAAGAATTTCTTGTTTAGATATAAAATAATGTATGTGTCTATTTATATATAAGCGCATGTTGTATTGAAACATTACACATATGCTTAAAAAGATTATTAAAATATTTTTTGCCGTAGTATAACGAACTAAAACACAGGAATATTTTTATGTTTTTGTATATCACATTAAAAATGATGGAGATTTTTTCATAACTTACTTCGTTTACATTTTCTACAGAGTTTATTCATAAATCCCATCGCAAAATGTGGTTGATTATTCAGATTGATTGGTTAATGACAGTTTTGACATATGTAATTATGGTTTGTGTTGTATAGTAGAAACCACGAGAGCTGGCAGTGACAGAACGCTTAAAAAGGGTATGAATCAAGATATGGACGTACGACTTAGATTATTTCACCACGTACATTTAAATGTAGGTTATGTTAGTAATGGAGGTTATATGTCAAACATTGTCAAAGATATTTAATGATTTTCGGCTTGTGAAAACACTAACATATTCATGACAACGCTCACAAGACGTTTCGATTTGAGGTTATAATTATAGAGTTACATCCCTTAGAAGAACAGACGTACTTTTTCGACGTGGCCATTTGAATTGTACAGCAGACATATTAAACTAATGCTATCTCTTTCTAACACACATTACTCTCTAGCGGTTTGTGAACTACGTATGGCATTTGTAAGAGCGGAAAACGATGATTTACTGCCAGCTCTCGTGGCGTCTACTATATAAATAAACTCTAGAGTGCATCGTGCTCAAGGTTTGTATACAGGTGTCCGGAAATGACGTGTACAACGCAAGACCCTTGACCAAAAATATGATGATTTAACTCAACTTATCTATATACAAAATTGCTTAGTTTATCCGCTGAGGGCTTTAAAAACAATAATTTGTTTCAATTTTTTTTAAATAGGTCGAAAAATCCTCGGTGGATCTTATTCATTTTTTGGTCATGCGTTTGTATCAATAGACTACAGCTATTTGTGAAATAAACTCTAATTTCGAAAATTATAGGGTGTTTAAAAACTTTGTCACAATAAATTATGCATCCACATCTTTTTAACAAAAAATATTTTAGTCCAATAGAACGCAATTGATAATACTTCAGTCGGAAACCTCAAATTTTTATTTTGGCCAGAACCCCAGAAACGTCTAATGACTGGTCTCGCTGAGACACGTGTGTATTCGCGTATAGCTTGAAGACGAAAGCAGCTATCGAAATGTGGTAAATGTGAACTGATATTCATTTTTAAAGAGTTTTTCATTTATATATCCTAGATATATCTGAGGACTTCAGGGGGTAAACTACCCTTACTTTTTTTGGAATAATTTAAAAATTATCCTGCCGGTTTTGGCACCATTAACTACCCTTATAGTACGATTAAAACGTTTACGTACACGTTTACACCCCGTACGTTTACGGGGTGTAATAGATAACCCCTTTTCTTAAGAATAATGTGATTAAACTGTTATATTTTTGAACAATATTTTGAAGAAAACCGTAAATTAGTTGCAAATTAAGGTTTACACTGTAAAATAAGCCGATACGGATATATACGACATTTAGGGCTGGGGTTAACCACCAGCCCTAAAAAAAAATATTATTTTTTTTTGCGAGTATTGTTTATCGATTTTGGTGCAATTTAGCACGATGATTTCTTTATACGTTAAGTAGTACTTTAAAGAGAACTTATAAGGGTTAGCAGTTTGGTGTAGAAAATATATTTGCGCTAATAATTTTCTTACTCATACACAAAAATCTTGAATATTAAATATTATACATATATTTAAGTTCTTAAAAAAAACTTAAATATATGTATAATATTTAAGTTTTTGTTAAGAATTTAAATATACAGGTGTATCTAAATTGATGCGAAAGATTTTAAGGCTGTTCGACCGCTACGACAAACGTATTTCCAATAATACGCGTTAACCGTTTGAAATATCAAAAAAAGTTTCAAACAAAAGTTGTTTCAAAATGGAAAATCTATGCTTCTTCTGCGAGATATTTGATTAATTATTGTTAATTACCGAGATTATTAAGAAGCATTTCTAAAAGGGCTCAGAAGAGGCGTAGATAATTATTAAACGAACACTTTTTCTAAATAACATTTTTTGATATTTCATAAAATAAAGGAGGAAAATTAGAAATTTCCACGCCGAAATATTGTAATAATTTCCTAATTTTTGTATTAGCCCCGCCCTCAAAGGATTGGGTGGTGTGGCGTACCAGTTTTAGCGAGATCGTGCGCACTCTATCTACCATTGAATCTTTACGACTTTGTAGAAATACAAATTCATTCTTTAGGAATTAACCGTAAAAGCACAAAATAATATGAAACGAAATATAACTTACCATTTTTTAAAGTAGGTATATCGATCCAAATTCTTACGTTTAGTTTTAGTAATTTAATTAAGATATGAAAGTTTAATAAAAATAACAAAAATTTTAAGTAAATTCATTAGTAGAACTAAAAATTAATAAAATCCAGAATATAAATTAAATACAGGGTGATTCACATAAGAACCGACACAGAGCAGGGATATGTAGAGGACAATAAATTAAGATGATTTAACGTAACTTACCTCTATACTAAGTTGTACACCTGAGTAGTTATAGGCCTTCAAAGTTGGCTGTTAAATTTTTAAAAAGTTCATTATCTTCGTAATACATTAAGCTAGAAAAACCAAATTTGGTATATGTTATGAGTGTAGCAAGGGTATTCATTGGTAGCAAATTGAACTCAATTGAGGCATTTCAAAGGGTTTATTAAGGGTGATGTTACCTTAAATTTTGACAGCCTTTTAAACCTTTTGGCGGATTTAATACATTACTACTTCATTTCATGTGGAATTTAATTCTAAAACTTTTCTTACACTTATTATTTTTAAAAAAATTTAAATAACTAAAGACACGTATTTCGTAATGTTACTTAAAATTAAAAAAAAATTTAGTAGTCGGCTATGAAACTGTGCGTCAAACTTGACAAATAGCTTATAAAGTTATTTGACGACAAGGTTTTATAACCTATTTGTCAGGTTTGACGTACAATTTCACAGCCGACTACTGAATTTTCGATGATTTTATTAGTGTATTAAATCCACCAAAAGGTTAAAAAAATCTGTCAAAATTTAGGGGACCATCCTCCTTATCAACACTTTGAAATGCCTTAATTGGTCTCAACTTGTTACCAATTAATACCCTCGGTACACTCATAACGTATATCAAAGTTGGTTTCTAGCTTAATGTATTACGAAGATATTGAATGTTTTAAAAATTTAAGGCCCAACTTTGAAAGCCTATAACTCCTTAGGGGTACAACTTAGTATAAAGATAAGTTGAGTTAAATCATCTTAATTTATTGTCCTCTACATGTCCCTGCTCTGTGTCGGTTCTTATGTGAATCATCCTGTATATTGTAATAAATAGTACTCCTATATTTATATTATTTAACCGTTATTTAGTGTTTTTTTTATTGAAAGAACGTTTTAATTATATAACTTTTATTTAAAATTACAATGTATTACATAAGACTTTATGAATACGGAAGCGTAACTCGAACATCGCGTCGACGATTGGAGTACTTTGTGGTGTAGGACTTCACGTTAATTGCTCTTGAGACGTGTCCTGGGGAAAATCCTGCGTCTCAACGTGTTCTGTGTATTCGATGTTTTCATCGATATGTCGTTCACTATAGTTATCGTCTGTTTGGCCATCATTAGGATATTGGACATAAACATTGGCTTCGGTTGTTTCTGATGGAAGCTGAATATTATTTGATATCCATTGTCTCTTTGGGGCTGGTCGGTTGATAGATGAGGCTGGACATTTATTAGTGTTGTCTATTTCCATCGGTGTTGGTCTGGTTAGCCTCTGTTGCATTCGTCCAGGTGATCTAGCAAACGATTGGCTACTTGATTGCTGTGGATAGAACATTGGGCGTGGTGGCATTATAGCAGGTGGAATATATTTATTCTGTTGGACATACGGTTGTGTTTGTATCGGTGGCATTCTTTGCATTTGACTTGGTCAATTTGCAATTATAGGAGGTGGTCTAATAATACTTCTCATGGGAGATGTGTTTGGTTGTTTTGTGTGGTAGAGGAAGTGTTGTTTTTGGGTATTGTAGTTGGTAATCTCTAACGCATACCCTTTTGCTGTCTCTATGTCGGCTGGTTGTCTTAACTTAACCTCTAGATCGATGTTGGGATTGAGTAAGACCAATCCGAATAATACGTTCTTAACGGTATTTGATTATACTGTCCTTGTTTGAGGTCGCGTATGACGATGTCGTTTTCTTCTAAATTTATTTTTGATAGGAGAGTATAAAGCGTTGATTTTATTTTGTTTACATAACTTGCTGTGGTATCATCCTTCTGCGGAACCAAACTGTTTAGATCGTACACCAGAACTTCTTCTGATCGCTTGTCGCCAAACGAATGGATTAAGATTTGTTTCAACTCGGGCCAGGTTGTGGGTAGCTTGTTAGCATCCACCGCCCCACGTGCTTTGTCGTGTAATCTTCCCATAAAAATCATCAAAAGACGTTTAGCAATTCGAATTTCATGCGGGACTACTGGGGCTGTTGGTAGATATTCTTCGATCAGAAATTCGCAGGCGTTTGTGTAGCTTTTTAGTGTTACGCGGTCTCAATTGAAGACCGGGATTAAGTCTTGGTCCACTTTAGATATTTCTCGAGCCATTGTGATCTCGTTGATGGCTTCCAACAAATCGTTTAAGTTGTCCACAGTGATTGGAAAGTGTAAAGAAGGTGTGCAGAAAATAATTGTACTTACAGTTGTACGAAGATTAATACGATTACTAGCATTGATTCTTCTTTTTGGTAGTCCTGGGAATCGATCGCTAATTTTTGAAGATTCAAATTCCTCGGCAGGTACTTCTTTCTTCTCGTATCCAGTAACAAAGAACTTGAAAGTTCAACACAAGTGTTCCGTAAGTCGGACCGATTTTAGGCACGATACAAGATATAATCACTCGCGTTTACTGGATCCTACTTTAGCCCTTCATCTACTGTTTTTCAAATGAATGGTAGAGGTAATCAAATCAGAAGAACAAATTTTCGGAATTCTACACCATTTTATTTTTGGATATAACCGAAACAAACGGGCAATAATAACTTCGTTCCTCATAACAATAATCGCGGATATAATAATTTCAATAGCCACAATAACAACCGAGGTAATTATGCTGAATTTAGAAATAACGATCGTGGTAGTTAGAGCGGACCATATCACAGTCGCAGCAACTTTCGAGGTCGTAGAGGAATCTCAGGTTCTTTTCGTGGAAATCATACCTATTTAGCAGAATCTGACGCGATGGGAATTCCTGAGATTACCAATAAAAATACAGCCAATGACATAAACGAACAACGTTTTTTTCATGAATAACTCTACAGATAAAGTAATATGTAGTATGAATGGTATGAATTATGTGCGAATGAGATACGGTACGGATGATCTATTATTTCTTTTGGATACGGGTGCAACATTAAGTGAAATTTTTTCAAAATTTTACAAAGACTTGAAATAATTGATACCACTAAACAAATAGATATAAGAGGAATTACAGGTTCAGTAAAGTCAATGGGTTTAGTAAACATTCCTTTAAACATTTACAATTACAATATTACTCATGAATTTATTGTTATGAATGATGTTGATTGTGATGTGAATGGCATCATAGGATCAGATTTTTTTGAAAAACATCTTGCAACCATAGATTACGAAACATTTTCATTTTGGATTAATTCTTGTAAAATTACGATCAACTTAGAATCTTAAATAGATAGTTTTGTAACTATACCACCACGTTGCGAAGTTATAAAGTATTTCTCGACAGATTCTTCTGGAGACTGTGTGATTTTGCCAAGTGAGATATCTGAAGGTGTCTTCACTGCAGGAATCATTGTTCGACCAGATTTGAATAAGGTCCCAGTTAGAATTTTAAATACTAACGATAGGGAAGTTAAAATTAAAAATTTTAGACCATCAAATGTATGTTTATCAAAATTCGAATTGTTAAATTTTGAAAACACTAATATAAATTTAAATAGAGTAAATAAACTTATAGATTTACTTGATGTAAAACATTTAGACAAAGAAGAGATAGACGCAATTCATAAAATCTGTGCTAAGTATGCAGATTTTTTCTTATTAAAGGATGATTCTTTGAGTGTTACGAATATTATTAAAGAAACTATTAAATTAAAAAAAGACGCACATCCAGTTTATGTCAAACCTTATCGGTAAAGTTACCTCAAGCGCAAAAAACCGAAATTCACTCTCAAATAAATAAATTATTAAATGATGGAATAATTGAAGAAACAAAGTCAAGTTGGTCCTCACCATTGCTAATAGTTCCTAAGAAAAATGATAGTCAGGGAAACAAACAATGGCAAATTGTTATCGACTATAGGTTGTTAAATAAAAATATTGAGGATGACAGATTTCCGTTACCTAGTATTACTGAAATTTTTGACTCATTATCAGGCGCGTTATATTTTACCCAGTTGGATCTTTCTCAAAGATATTACCAACTAGAATTGAAACCATCCAGTCGAAGTTGTACAACTTTCACTACTAACAAAGGCCAATTTCAAATGACTAGGCTACCAATGGGATTAAAAAGTAGCCCTAGTTCATTTTCACGGGTCATGACAATTGCGATGTCAGGTTTGAACTATGATTCATGTTTTGTTTATATGGATGATCTTATAGTGTTCGGAAATAATTTACAAAATCATAACAAAAATTTAATAAAAGTACTCAATAGGCTTAGAACAGGAAATTGCAAATTAAATCCAGTCAAATGTAAATTTTTAGAAAAAAAAAGTTATATTTAGGTCATATTATTTCCGTAGACGGAATTTCACCAGACCCTGCTAAAATAAATGCAATAAAAAATTACCCAACACCGAAAAATGCCGACGAATGTAAGCGTTTTGTAGCATTCGTAAACTATTATCGTAGGTTTATTGAAAATTTGGCTGAAATCGCATATCCGTTGAATAAAGTATGCCGGAAGTCTATACAATTTCGATGGGATGAGTGTTGTCAAAAATCGTTTGAAATTCTAAAAAATTCTGTAATAAACCCACCGGTTTTACAATATCCTAATTTTTCAGAAAGTAATAAGTTTATTCTTAGAACTGATGCTTCTGGTTATGCAATTGGCGCAGTACTCTCAAATTCTGATGATAAGCCTGTTGCATATGCTAGTAGGTCATTGAACAAAGAAGAAATTAATTATCCAGTCATTGAGAAAGAACTTTTTTTTTTGGCAATTTTGTGGTCCATAAAGCACTTTAGACCAATTTGTACGGCAGAAAATTTGAAATATTCACGGATCATAAACCATTGATATATTTGTTCAGCATGACGAATCCTTCTTCGAGATTGACTAAATTTAGGTTAGTGTTAGAGGAATTTGATTTTTCTGTGCACTATATAAAGGGAAAAGAGAATTCCGTAGCGGACGCGTTATCAAGAATTACTCTTGACTCTACAGATCTAAAAAATATGTCACACGATGTTTTTGTGACGACACGTGCACAGCAAAAATTAAGAAACTCTGAATCTGTGGTAAGCTCTGGCAATGATACTGATAAATGGACCGGCCATCCAGGAATTGTTGAATTGCTAAAGCGTCCAATAGGTTCAGACGAATTAAGAAATTTGAACAATAATGTGAATGTGGATATAATTAATTACAGTGAAATTTTATATGATAAAAGACATCAAATAATTTATATAAATTTAAGTTGTCGATCAATTTCAGCCCTAGACGCAAAGTTGAGACACTTAGAAGCTATATGCATTAATAATGATATTTAACAGCTGTGTATATTTAAATGTAAAGAAAATGTAAATAATTTAATTGCCAATTTAGCGAAATATTCATAAATAATCAGAGTTACGCGTAAAATTTAACATAATAAATAAAGGAACTTACATTGAGTGTAAAGAAACACGTCAATTAATTTTAAATGAATTTCATAATTTACCTACGGGAGGTCACGCTGGTATCAATCGTATGTTTAACAATATTAAGCGATACTACTGTTGGAATAAGTTAAAACATGATGTAACGAGATTCGTAAATAAATGTGATGAGTGTCAACGGTACAAACACTCGAGATCTCATACACAACCGTTAACACTCACCACTACCACATTATCAGCCTTTGAAATTTTTCTTAGATTTAGTAGGTCCTTTGAATCAAGATAATGCAGATAACAGGTACATTTTAACCGTTCAATGTGAACTTACTAAATTCGTAGGAGCATTTTGTTCAAAATTTCATATTACAGTACGGTATTCCACAGGAAATCGTTACGGATCAAGGTAGTGAGTTCTTGGCAAGTGTTTTTAAAGAATCAGCAAAGATTTTAGGTATAAAACAATTACATTCATGTGCTTATCATCATGAAACTTTGGGATCTTTGGAAAACACGCATAAAAGCTTAGACGCATATTTGCGAATACAAACATCCTAATTTGGGCATTTGCTTTTAATAACACCGTGCATTCAGAAACAAAATACACACCGTTTGAATTAGTATTTGGAAAAACATGTAAATCGCCAACTAGTTTGCTTAATATGTAATAATCAGCCAGTATATAATTTTGACGATTATAACCATGAATTGAGATTTAGATTGAAATTTGTATTAGAAAATTAACTTTAAATTTAATGATGAAGTATTATTAAAAAGCGAAACTAATAATAAATTAGAAACTATCTATAAGGGTCCATACAAAGCAATTAAAGATGAATCTCCTAACATAATTATAAAAATTAACAATAAATTAGTAACTGTGCATAAAAACAGAGTGAAAAAATACAGTGCATAAAAAAGAGACTGTCACGGGTAGTGTTATGTAAATTTAATTATAATAGATTATAGAATTTAAGATTTAATTGTTAGATTCAAAAAACCGCTGACAGACTTCTAGAGTAGATATTACATGAAAAATTAAGATGAATAGTCTTAATATACATGGGGTCGCAAATGCCTCGTTGGCAAGATATAGCGGATCAAGGTTTCTTTAAAATTAAACATTATCTGCAATAAAAAGCACTTTTTTAAAAATATTGTCTACGCCATTGCTCTCTACGCGTGTAAAGTGATCAATTATCTATCAATTGGTCTGTTACAAAACTTTGATCAAAGCAATAGTTTTTAAGAAAAACACGTTTGTAGAAAATTTTATAATTCAATCAAAAACTGTTGCTTTAATCAAAGTTTTGTAAGAGACCAATTGATAGATAATTGATCACTTCACACGAAAATACTGCCCGTTTGACAAAATTAGCAGTGCAATTGAAAATATTTTGAAAAAAGGGCTTTTTATTGCAGATAATGTTTAATTTTAAAGAAACTTTGACCCGCTATATCTTGTTAAGGAGGTATTTGCGACCCCATGTAATTTTTGATGTATTACCTGCCCTGGAAGTCTGTCGGTGGTTTTTTGAATCACCGTGTATATGTAAAAAAATTTTAATATTATAAAAATTTGTAATATAAATTATAATAATTATAAAATTATAATTTTCATAATGAAAAAAAAAAATAGATAAAGTAATAGATGATTTCGGCAACTAAAACAGATGACTGGAGCTGCTATAACTATTTCCAGTAGATAAAGTGTCCGCCAAAAAGTCAGCAACACCCGCTTTATTTCTGTTCCATTGCATCAACCATCCTGAAATTTAGCTTATATGGGAGGCTCATATCGCTTAAAGTATTTTCAAGATGGTGGCCACTTCCGGTCCCCCGAAAGTAGACCTCAACTTCGTTATTTTAAATGGAATGCTATAGTTTTTATTGCACCTTTTATTTGTATGCGAAAAAAATTTGTTGACTTTGATAAATGTTACTGGTACCTAGCATTTTTCGTTTTCGAGTTATTTTGATTCTAAGTTTTTGTTTGATAAATTTCACCATGCTTTTAAATATATGTGTATGTGATATATTTGCAATTTTGCAGAAATTTTCAACGTTACATCAAATTTAACATTAAACGGTATGTTTCGATATTAAAATGATAAAAATGATTGTATAAATTAAAAATGATATTCGATCAATTGCTGCAGCTAATAAAATCCAATCTTCTTGATATTTTCCTGAATGAAAGCTGTCTTGATTTTCTAAAGGTTTATTTCTTTGATTCCCCAAATTAGCTTGCGTTATATAATTTGATAATCCAAGGTAAATTCCTAAGCGACCAATTAATACATTTCTTAATATCCAAGGGATTGGATATTTTCGTGGAGTTTTTGATAAATAAATTATTAACACCGCATTAATTATTGATAATGTTGTTATAATCAAAGCAGAAGCGTAAAATTTAACTAAAAAATTAAATAATTATTAACATAATTATAATCTTATAATTTATTTACCAATTAAAGGTGTATTATTCCCCAAAGCCGGTAATTTTTGTGCAAAATACAACATTAAAGCAACTATTACGCTGATTGTTATTAAGTTTAAAAGGATTTTTTCTTCTGATTTAGGTGGTAACCAAAATGAAAGTAAAGTTAAGACGATAACAACTAAAAATAATAAAAGTATCAAAACTAAATATTGGTATTAATAAAAATATACCAATCAGTGGAGTCAAAATCAAGCTTTTATAAGAATTTGTTATTCTTTGTAACGTAAATTTAATTACAAGTGTCGGATAAAAATTTCCACAGCAAAAATCTCTTGAGTTTGTCAAATACTCAAAATCGGTTATATTCCAGTCTAAAACTCCATCGGAATTGCGAACATTCTTAAACAACAAATCAAACTTTAGCAATTCTATAAATTTAACAAAATAACGTTGTAATTTTTGTAACTAACAACAATCTTTTTAAGCTCATTTCCATCGTATTCCAAGTGAATATGATCACTGTGATAAGTCCAAGATCCAATTATCAACTTGCAACGGTGTTGGTCGAACGGCCACATTTCAAAATTAAACTCGCAAAGTATTGGAAACGTAGATGTTGGTACCCAAAGAATTTCTCCAGCGTTATAAACTAGTAGATACACGCTGTCTTGAGCTACTCCTGTTGTAGTAGCACTAAATAATAATTTTTTTATATTGTTCGTTAAAAATAGAAACAATTAACCTGTTTTGTAAAACAAGATCTGGTTGCCAAATTTCATGTGGTGCAACATGAAACATCCCAACCCCACCATAATTCTCAGTTTCCCATTTTAGTTTATCATCACTCCAAACCTAATAAAATAAAAACTTTTAGTCAAATAAATGTGTCACTACATATTTATTTTACCAATCTAGTCCATCCAACGATAGTTACAGTTGATTTAAACTCGTTAACCTCAACATGTTTAATCTCCATACCAAATCTAACAGTTGTAACATTTGTGTGTTGAGTTGGTCGAGCAAACTTATCGTAATTTAATAATAAATCTTGTTTTAGCTTATCCACTAAAGTCGCATTCCATAAAGGAACTCTTCCAATTCCTTAAATCACAAAAAAAATTCAAACCTATTTCAATTTTTAATCTAAAAAATATTTAAACAACTTACTTTTACGTGAAGGCGGAAAAGCTGACAAAACACTAAAAGCCAATTGAAATAAACCGAATATTATTAAAAAGAGAGCGGTTCGGGACGAATTCATTTTCACCATTTTGACGAAGCGGAGAAGATGTTTGAATGTATAATATTCAATGTGAGACTAAAAGTTTTATTGCGTAATTGGCCAATTTGAATAAATAAAATATTTGTATCCGGTCTTGCTTAAATTTAAAGCGGCGATATAATTAGAAAGATATTATGCAATGTTAAATAATTGAAATAAATTGAAAAATGACAACATTTTAAATTGGATTTTTATCAATTTAACGCTAACATCCATAGAGTTGAATTAAAGAAATCGTATCACCGACATTTACAGGAACGAAAGAATTATGTTTGGTATGTTGGAGCTCGATTAACACTTTTGGAGAATGGCATTAACCATGATATGTAGATGAATGCTCACACGGTGAACGAATTGGCTCTCGTGCAGCATCACCGCGTCATACCACAGCAAAGACTATTGTCTACTGTTGTAAATATAAGTTTATTTACAATTGCTATGACGCGGTTTTGACATGCGAGAACCAATTCGTTTACCATGTGAGCATACCTAATATTCATCTACCTTGGCATTAACATCACGTTGACAACACATACACAATTTGCAACCAAAACACAAGTTTGAAATAGTTCGTGAACCAGAAATAGTATATTACAGTACAAGTGAAGAAACTATGATTTTTCATTAATGCGTAGAGTTAAAATACGCATTAGAGTTAAAATAAGACATACAAGTTAAATACAATATTAAAAAATATATACAGGGTGCACATTATGTATGGAACATAGTATATATCTTTGTAGGTATCAACTTTATAAAAAAATATTTTATACAAAACTTGTTTAATATTTTATTTGCCATAATAAGACTGCATTCAATTGTTTTTAATTCAGAAAACAAATGAGTAACGAATTATACTTAAATTTTTTTTAATGGCAATGTATTCTTTCTTTAGGCTCATTTGATAGAGATTACTTTTCTGTTTACGATGGCGTAAAATTTTTGTATCCTTACATCAGAAAATTTTTGAGAAAAATGGAAAAATTGTTTATTAATAAAAATTAATCAATAACATTAATCTTCTAGATTAATAGAATCTCGATATCTATAACAGAATCTAGATATCCGAGATCGTCAAGTACCTCGAATTATTACTGTAAATTAAATTTACATACAAAATAAAACAAATAAACGAAAAATTAGTGTACAGGGTGGGCAAATTTGGGTGTTATTATAGGCTATCTCAGAAACTATAAGAGATACGNTAAAAAAATTCAAGTGTTATTCGTAGCTCATTTGTTTTCTGAAATAAAAACAATTGAATGCTGTCTTATTATGGTAAATAAAATATTAAACAACTTTTGTATAAAATGTTTTTTTACAAAGTTGATACCTACCAAGATATACACTATATTCCATACATAATGGGCACCCTGTACATCGACGTCAGTGTCCTAAAGAACACACCATAAACTTTATTATAAATATGTTGGTAAAATTAATTTTATTTAACTTTTGTAAAAGAATAAATAACATATTAAAAGATAAAATTAGAGAAGTAAATTCTGAGAACGCATTGGCTGTTCATAGAGTGTCCAGTCTAGGTATTTGGTCCCGGGTCCGGCTCGGGATTTCATGAAAGAAATGTAGTCCCGGACCACTAAGAAGTCCCGAAATTAAGAACAAATTAAAATATCCGGAACGCCTACAAATAACAGGTTTACAACCTGTCAACAATATCGATCTCGAGACTCTGACTAGCTAACGCTATACAGGATGATTCACATAAGAACCGACACAGAGCAGGGACATGTAGAGGACAATAAATTAAGATGATTTAACGCAACTTATCTCTATACTTAGAGTTATAGGCCTTCAAAGTTGGGTCTTAAATATTTAAAACATTGAATATCTTCGGAATACATGAAGCTAGAAAAAACAACTTTGGTATACGTTATGAGTGTACCGAGGGTAATAATTGGTAGCAAGTTGAGACCAATTGAGGCATTTCAAAAGGTTGATTAAGGGTGATGGTCGAATAAATTTTGACAGATTCAGTAGAAAATTCAGTAGTCGGCTGTGAAATTGTACGTCAAACTTGACAAGTAGGTTATAAAACCTTGTCGTCAAATAAATTTATAATCTATTTGTCAAGATTGATGTACAATTTCATAGCCGACTACTGAATTTTCGCTTATTTTAAGTAACATTACGAAATACGTGTCTTTAGTATTTAAGTTTTTTATGAAAACGACAGTTTTTTAAAAAATAATAAGAGTAAGAAAAGTTTTAGAATTAAATTCCACATTAAATGAAATAATAATGTATTAAATCCGCCAAAAAGGTTAAAAAATCTGTCACAATTTAGGTTACCATCACCCTTAATCTACTCTTTGAAATGCCTCAATTGAGTTTCCAATTTGCTACCAATTAATACTGTTGATACACTCATAACGTATACTGTTACCATGGTTACCATACAGTGCTAGCGTAAAGTAACCCCCCCCCCCTGTTTAACTTCCGAACAAATTGAGATATCACTATGAACAAAAAAACGTCAGTTTCTATATTTTATCAGCACAAATATTTTCTTATGGAAAATTTTGCCATCACTTTTAGTTTTTCCGGAAAATAGATCAACTTTGTTTTTTTAAATGGAACACCCAGTATATTATGGTATCTTCCGAAAGATGAAAACAATACGAATCCAACGGTACCTCACAATCAAATATCGGTTTATTAGTTTTTCGCATAAAAATTAAACAAAATGCGGAATTTTGCCGGAAAAACCAACGTATCTTCGTCGACTACCTGTCGAAATGCAATCGGCCAGGTAAATGGTGGACGGTCGGTATACGCTCGAGCTAAGACGGATTTAAAATTGCAAGTTCAATTACTTATTTTTTTTAGAAATGAAATAAAAGTTGTTTGGAAGTATATTAAATTTATGAATTAATCATATTTTATCAAAAAATATTTATAAAGAAAAAAAGTCAATATAAGAAATGAAATTTTCTTATTAAAGATTTTGCTAGTATAGGTAACGGTTGAAAAATTTGCTTAGTGTTGTTATTGAATAATAAAAGAATTTTTTATTTATTAAGAATCAAATATTAAGTAAATTGTTCGATATGATTACCTTGAACTTCTAGGCAGTGGTACCATCTTTGTAGTGTTTCCTCTCTCACACGGCTTAACATGTGATCAATATTTTGGCAGACGTCAATAATTTTTTGTTTTAAATCCTCAATACTACCCAACGGAATTTCATATACCTTGGATTTTAAATAACCCCATAAAAAGAAATCTAAAGGTGTCAGATCTGGTGATCTTGTTGTCCATTAAAATTTTTATCAAGATAATTTCGTACCATTGGCGCATAATGTGGAGGTGCTCCGTCTTGATGAAACACTAGTTCCATTTCAAAATCGTCAGAATTCTGTTGTACAATTTGCAAAAGTCTTGAAAAAAAAACATTTACTTTCTAATGAAATTGAGTGATAACGTCACGATATTCATGTGGATTAACATCACGCCGATGCAATTTTCCACCCAAAAAGAAAGTACATTCATCACTGAAACAAATATGTTTCAAGTATAATCGATTTCGTTCAACCATATTTGTCATTAGCTCACAAAATTCTGTTCTTCTATATCAGGGTCATCTTCTGTTAATTCATGAAGCATTTTTATTTAAAATGGATGATATTTATTCTTCTTTAAGTATTTCCACGTCTTCCAACAACGACGCGGAAATATTTAACACATCACACGTTGATGCGATAGCAGCAGACGACATCATGGGCACATTAAATACTTCTGTTAATATCTGACGACCAGTTCTTTTGCGGTCTTCGACGCTTCCAGTTTCCAAAAACTTATTCACAAGCTCTCTTAAATATTTTCGACTAATTGGATGTTCAGGAAATCGTTCCTTAAATTGTCGCCCTGTTTCATGTAGATTTCTGTCAGCACGAGCGAATATTAAAATTGCTTCGATATTGTGCTCTAAACTCCTTCTAGCCATTTTGATCTCGCCTTTCTTTGGTTATACTTGGTCGGGTAGAATTCAAAGATAGAAATGAAGGAAAATATTTGCATGCTGCCTTAAATACAAAATTTCAAAGTACCTACAAACTTTAAAATTGTTGTTATGACAATTTTTTCTTAGAAGTTTTAAAAAGAACTTTCTTTTTATCCTTTTCTTGTATTGATTGTTTCATAAAAACATTCTAAAAGAATTGCTGATTTTAACCCTGCTTAATCCGAGCGTAGACCGACCTTTAACTGACCGTCCACCATTTATCTGGCCCATTGTATCTCGACAGGTAGTCAACGAAGATACGTTGGTTTTTCCGGCGAAATTCCGCATTTTGTTTAATTTTTATGTAAAAAACTAATAAACCGATATTTGATTGTGAGGTATCGTTGAATTCGTATTGTTTTATTCTTTCGAAAGATACCATAATATACTGGGTGTTCCATTTAAAAAAACAAAGCTGTTCCATTTTCCGGAAAAACTAAAAGTGATACCAAAATTTTCCATAAGAAAATATTTGTGCTGATAAAATATAGAAACTGACGTTTTTTTGTTCATATTGATATCTCAATCTGTTCAGAAGTTAAACAGGGGGGGGGTTACTTTACGCTAGCACTGTATATAAATTCCAACACTGGGAAGACAGCGCCGAATGGTCGGACGCACCCCATTGGTGGGCATTCATGGAGGTGAGATAAAAAGGAAGGTCGTTCGACACAGAGGACATTAGATTACAATATCATTGCTATATTAATCTTGTGTAAGAAAATATTGTAAATAAAAAACCAAGTTAAGGTGTTTTTGAGAGTTTGACTCCATCACGTGTTTCCTCTCCCCCTCATCTCTGGTAACAATTGGCGCCCAACGTTTCTCTGCACTGATGCCGAAAATTTCTACCTCACAACTAAGAAGAAGTTTACGTATTGCAGATCAATCCAGCTCAATAACGTACCGAGAAGCACCAAGCAGCTCTTCCGAAGAAGAGGAACCTACCACTACGACGAACCCGGAGATGCAAACAGCGGAACCTGTCGTCAAGCCAGACGTCAACAAGATGGACTTGACAAACATCATCAACCCATTGATAGAGCTGGCAAAACAACTACAACTCGACGATAATGATACCCCAACATTTAACGGTTACCCCATCGAGGCCCCAGAAAAATTTGTGGC